ATAGAGGGCTCCCAAGCACTACCACACAAGACACCAAGGCTCTAGTGTGCTCAGCTCATGGCCAAAAGCCGACCACCACTTCTATTTATAGCCCCATGGGCTAAACTAGCCGTTACCCCTTCACTGGGCGTTTTTCGGGTCGACCGGACGCTGCACCGGACGCACCGATCGTGAATACCAGACGTGTCCGGTCGCTATACCGGACATGTCCGGTAGCTGCCAGACCGCCACGTGTCCCACTATTGCTTCCAATGGCTGTCTAACATGTCCGATCGGACGCACAGTTCGAAACGACCGGACGCTGAGCCGCTGCGTCCGGTCGAGTCCAGTAAGCCTCCAGGGCCGACCGGACATGTCTGTTAGAAACTGACCGGACGCTGAGCCTCAGTGTTTGATCGAGTACAGTAAGCACCCATGCTCGACTGGACGCGTCCGGTCACTCCAGGCCAGACGCTGCCAGCGTCCGATCAACTGTACTACCGAACACCATCTTTGCTGATTCACACCGGACGCGTCCGGTATGGCGACCGGGCGCGTTCGGTCACTGAGTTCGTCGCCAAATACCGGACGTGTCCGGTCACCATACCGGACGCGTCCGGTCACTCTGTAACCAGCGCGACTAACTCTTTTTCAACTCTATCATCTTCACCCTTGCTCAAATGTGCCAACCACCAAGTGTACACCATCATGTGTATGCATGTTAGCATTTTCACAATCATTTCCCAAAGGATTAGCCACTCAACTTGCCACGCCACTTAATCCTAGCGACGATGCGAAGTTAGATCACTCGAGTGGCACTAGATGACCGATATGCAAACAAGTTTGCCCCTCTTGATAGTACGACCATCTATCATAAACCCAGTCATAAACTTCTCTACACACCTATGACCGGTGAAATGAAATGCCCTAGGTTATACCTTTGCCTTGCGCATTCCATTCCATCTCCTCCAATGTCGATGCAACACATGCACCAACATGATCAACAATGATATGATCCACTTCATATCATCACATGATCATATTGGTTCATCGATCTTGACTTCACTTGCTTTTCACCGTTGCCTTCGTCTATCGGCGCCAAGTCTTGCTCAAGCTTCACCACCACGCGGTCCATCGCTCCAAAGCCTTCGACTTGCCCTTCACGCTTGCAACCGGTGCATCAAGCCAAGTCTTGTCTTGATCTTCTCCACCTTGATGACATGAATCAATGTCATGTCTCATGTGCAATGAGCTCCTTCATCATCACATGTGTGAGCTTTGCAACATCTCCAAGCCATTTTCACCTTCATGGCATATGTTGCTCACACACATATACCTGTGGACTAATTACCTGTGTATCTCACATAACCACAATTAGTCCACCTAGGTTGTCACTCAATTACCAAAACCAAACAAGGACCTTTCACCTGCGCACTCCTCCCGAGACGTGCCAGTCAATTTGACCCTACAATTGGCAAGGAGAGAAAGTTTATCAGTAATTTAGGGCGGAACGTGCCGGTGTTGCCAGACAGTTCCGAATGTGCGGCTCTGAGAGCCGATATGAAAGAAGATCGACTAAATAGTCGATTTTAGCATATTCATAAGAATACATCAATTAAAGCTTAAGGGGTTGTGTAAGAAGAATCGGTTGTCGTTCATGATGAATATCATTATTTACACAAATATTGGTTAATGGCAATAAGATGTCAATAATAATTGGTTTAGTCTAAACCAATGACTGCAAGTAACCGATCTTCTTTTATATAAAGAAACAGATCATCATCATTCAACCGTTTAATAAAGACAAATCTAATGAACATATGAGATCTCATTTATCGCTATGACCAGTGGGGCATGAGACAGAATCATGCAGGTCATAATACAATAATAAGATCATGGGGCTAACACATCTTTCAACCTATCGTTACTTCAACGGTCTCGTGACATGAACTGTTCGTGAAAGCACTCGATATCGGCTAAAACAGCCTATTCAGGCATAGCGCACAGTTAAGGTCATGCCTTATTAGGAACAGATCTACCGAATAACGATCCCCACTCCGCGGTGCTAACAGTGGGGTGTGAGGCAGAATCACACAGGCTGTGATAACGGGCCATGGAACGATTTTTGCTAGCCAATAGATCTACTCAAGACGCAACATGTCTTAACCGCACGCTATGCATGATCAAGATTGACATAAAGCAGCCGATAAAACATAACTCATCGTTTAAGGTGTAGATTAGATCCGTTTCAGATTAACAAACGATGGGCTAAACAAGATATAAGACCGTTCTAGATCAATCTCAATCGGGCGAAGTGATATTGCTGTAATTAAATAAATAATGGAAGCAATAAGCAATATCGGTAACTTAATGAATCTATCCGAAGGAACGCCACCCTTAGATAGAGCTGATAACCTGACCTTAATCTGGTTCGAGCAGTGGAGGTCGACCGGATCGATGCAGCCATACTTGAACTAGACAAGAATCGATAACTAGGTTATACCAGAGTCGCAGTGGGGGTCGATCGGATCGATATAGCCATACGAACAGAAGTATAAGCCATGACGGTACTTACAGACAAGCAATGGAGGTCGACCGGATCGATGCAGTCGTACTCTCTGAAGAACTCGCTGAGATCTACTCTACTCCTCCTAAGGGGTGGCCGGAGTAAAAAAAAAAGTAAATAACTTGTATTGGATTGATTGTGCGTCTTTTACAATAGCCGGGGTTCAATATTTATACGCGAAGCCTAAACGTGAATCCTACTCAAGTACGACTTGGTACAATCTTTGGTACGAAGAAAACATTCCTATCTTAAGATAACTTGAACTCTAATCTTTCCCCTTTTATAGAGTCCGACATGTATCTTTCCGGCGCCAATCATATCGCATCATCGTTTTCTGCTGACGTCATTCAAAGAGAACCGACCCCAGTGTCGCATCCGAACCGGCTGATATCAATCCTTATGCAATTGACTCCTTGATTGGCACAATCTTGGAAGCCTGTGAGTTTCCGTGCTCTTCTCCCAAATTTTGGTGTAAACAACTAGATATTCATAGCTCAAGAAAATCCTAGTAGACCTATAGCCGAAGATACATTGAGGCCGGGCTCGTCGGCAAAGCTCAAAAGAAAATTTTCTTTATATCAAAGAACACTGTAATTTGCTAGGTAAATATTTTTGCATGATGAAAATCGCTAAGCTTCTAAAAGCCTCTGGCTCCACCACTTATTTGGATAATTTTTAACTTTATTTATAGTTTGGACTAGATATATAAATACATATTTCAACACCTTCAATTTAATCTATCTTTTCTTTCGGGTGTGACTTTCTTCATCCATGTCTATCTTCTATATTTTTCCACTCTGGATTTTCTTTTTCTCGTATTCTGATCTCTTATTTTCTCTCTTTTTTGTTTTTTTTCTCACAGTACCTCCACCAAATGTTATTCTTTTTTAGACACATTTTGAATACTATCACATCTTTTATTGTGGGACGGAGGAAGTAGTCCTAATAAGTGTTGGTACACGCAATGACCAACTAGTTTGTTTTCTGAACCCTGACCAAATCTGTAATGGAAGCATCATCTTGAGCAACAAGTGATCCACATCCGATCGAACCCCATGCACCTTGGACGCTCGGGCAAAACCATGCCAGTGGGAAAAGAAAAACAATAGAAACTTTGAAATACTTTGGAAGATGAACAAGTTTAGAAGTAGTGGAATTGACATGAGGTTCGTGTAGTTACGTGACAGATCTTATTCATCTGAAATAAAGCAGATATAGTTGTTACTTAATCCATGGAACGAGCATCAACCCACTCATCAGACACATTGAGAGAATATCAATTGCCAATACCAGCAATGCTTGATCTAGAAGCCTGGATACACGTTTGGCCATCGCAAGATGCCGAGATTTAAATCCAACGAGATGGTAACACAAAGATACAAACAAAAACTCAATTATCCCTCCAATTGCATCGTCCTTGCAAAAACAAAATCAACTAGAAAAACACCGGATGTGATGATTAGAACAACACCTGCACTAAACATATTATTTGTGATAAATAAGAGATCTAGCAAGCAATCAACAACGACGATACCAGTCAGTAACCCATGAGATGGATGGGACAAACTTTATTCAATTTAATATAAAACCCTAAAAACTACTGGACTTAAATTACGGAGGAAGGTCCTTGCTCCTTTTATAGCCAGCAAAGTTGCCCCACGGGAAGGAGGGGACCATGGTGATCACAAAACATGGGAGCGGAGAGGACGTTAAAAGAGGCAGAGGTTGAAAATTAATTTATCTAAACTAATCAGTACAAATCTATTTTATATATCATTTTCCTTTACACTATGCATTTTTTTTTTAAAAATCCTAAAAAAATACTAGACATTGTATGATGCTTGCAGAACAACTCTTACGACCTTGGAATCAATATATCGAGCTATTCTCGACATCAATGTGCCAAACGAAGATTTATTTTTGGGTTTGAATCGATACACAATGTATTTTTTGTTTTTGCGTGAAGCTTACACCAATGCACCCATTTATTTTATTTTATTTTTGTCGTCAAGGCTCAAGGGGTAAAGACGGTAGTAATGAAAAATCCTATTATTTATTTATTTTTGTTATTAAAAAAGAGCTCAAGGGTAAAATCGGTATTATAACGAAAAAAACCCGCGCCGGAGAGGCGGCGGGAGGCCCAGCAGCCGATTCCGACTCTTCCTCTTCCTCCAGGTTGGCGCGTGACGGCGTGAGGGATACGCGACACCAGAATTCCACGAAACCGACTCTGCGACTCATCTTCCCGGGCAATAAAACCCTTGCGCGTCGGCGTCGCCTACGCCCGCGCCACCCACCCACACACCTCCTAGAGCAATCGATCCCCAGAGTTTTCGATTCCCGCATCCCGATCTCGATCTCCCGACCACAGCTCCGCGCGCGCTTCGCGATCTCGATCCGGCGGCTCCCTCAATCGATTCCGGCGAGGCCGCAGGTGCTCCTCCCCCCTCGCCCGATGTCCGCAGGTGCTCCTCCTTCCTCGCTCGATCCCCGCTCCTCTCGAGTCGTCGTCCCCTCGGCTCCTGTTGCGATGCTGAGCCCACCTCCACCCGCGGCGGCGGAGGATGAGAAGCGTCCCTCGCCGCCGTTGAAGATGAAGCTGCTATTTCCGTATGCCGTGAACTGCGTGTTCGGCGGCATGGGCCGCGCCTGGGGCATGGCTATGGTCGGGCTCCACATTGTGCTCTGCATCGTCAAGGTACTCTCCTTCACTACAGATCCCGAGCTGTCCCGCTTCTGGATACCTATCTTCCGCGTCTGGGTGTACCTCGGCATCGCCGCCATGGTGCTCATGACGTGCGTGGACATCGTCTACTACATGGTGAAGCTGCTTTTTCCGTACGCTGTGTCCTGCGTGTTCAGCGGCATGGGCCGCCCCTGGGGCATGGCTATGATCGGGCTCCACATTGTGCTCTGCATCATTAAGGTCCTCTCCTTCACTACAGACCCCGAGGTGGCCCGCTTCTGGATACCGATCTTCCGCATCTGGTTGTACCTTGGCTTGGCCGCCATGGCGCTCATGACGAGCGTGGACATCGGTTACTACTTGTATGGGTTGTATGCCTTGAAGTTCGATCCACCACAGCAGCAGCTAGCAGCTAGCAGCGGCAGTGGTGCAGCTCCCGCCTCCACCTCCAGAGATGGACATGTGCTAGGTTTGGTCGGTGCTTTCGGTATGTGTTTGATTGCTGGCGCCAGGTGCGTTTTCTAACCCGTTCTTCAAGTCTCTGTTTTAGTTGCTTACTTACAGGTGTTGCTGCTCTACTTGCTCAAGGTACATGCCCTCCCCTTTCCAGCCCTATCTTTCATTCAGCACTTTTAATGACGTATTGCTTAATTATGCAGCTACAAGTATCTGAAATATTAAGTTTTGAAACAGAAAATATCTTGATTTTAGGTTCCATATATAGTATAGTTAGTCTGTGGCCCATATGATTTGTTGCAGATTTCGCTGCTTGTGCTAGACAATCTGTTTTCAATTTGTTTAGGCGAAGATGCTTCAGGTTCTTCTGGTTTAGTTATTAAATGGTATGTTTTTCAAGTCTATGCTCAATCTATCTTTTATAAAACAATGAATCCACAATGTGTTTATACTTCAGTAGTTGCATTGTGGGAGCACTTAAGTGGATGCAAATTTATTAATTGTTCTAGTATGTTTTTTCCATGTTTCTTACTTTCTGTATTTTGTGTTCATTTCATTTGTGATAAACAGGCTTTGTGATGAAGGGATCAATGGGAAGGACCAGCGTGCTGAAAAGATTTTGCTTTCTCTTGCCCCACCAGTCGAAGCAAAGATAAAGGACAGATGGTGGCAAACATCAGTGGAAGCTCATCACTTGATGGCCTGAGCTGAACGTGACCATCACGGAAAAGTGGAGTAAAAGAGCAACCTGTCAAGTGGATAACAAAAATGCCAGCGCACTAAATCAGGATAGAACACAACAAGTAGATCCGGAAAAATACTGCAAACCAAGTGGAGAAGACCCAAGTTCGAAGTTTTTAACTGCAATAGTTATTGCTTTTGTGCAGTTTGAAGTTTCTCATTTGCAATAGCTACTTTTTTATTTCATAGTTTGTTCAGTATCTTTAGGAAAGATTGAAGAAGATATAGTATTTAGTTCAAAAGAGTTGTTTACACTGGATGTTTCAATTTTGATGATTCAGGAGGTGCTTATATGTCTATAAAAGATAAAAAAATTTCTAGTTGCCATTGTCTGTCCTGGAGTAGTGCTAGAAATAAATTTGTTTGAGTTCTTAATAATTTATCACTTTGTCTCGTGCTACTTGGGTTTGTTTTGTTTCCTGTGTTGTTTCTGCTGGGTTTTTGTCACTTCTGATGACCCAAGTGTGACCTCTGTAGTATATGCACAAAAATAGCAGTAGTATTGAAAAAGGTCATAAAATTTTGTAAAAAATGGTACAGAACAAAGATTTCTATAATAGTTTAGTTATGCTTTTTTTAGCATCTGACTGTACTATGAAAATGGGACAATTTGCATCTAGTACTAAAATTGCATGCTGGTTGGGAAAGTCTAATTGAATCGTGGTGATTGGCCTGGTCTTGGGTCTCAGAGGCGATATGCGACATGTGCCAATGGCTATGTGATCCCTTTCTGCAAAATGGAACAGCTAAGGATTTTATTTTCCCTTTTTGTGCACATAAAAAATGAAATGAACTGACTACTAATACAATTGTACTGTGTGACACTAATTCTGTTTTATGTTTTGGAATCAGCTAGTCACTTGATATATGGCAAAACATTCTGTTTTATGTTTTGGAATCAGCTAGTCACTTGATATATGGCAAAACTGTTAATCTGATAGTATTTTCTTGTTAGTGATGTTGATAGCTAATCTAACATTTTGTTTGCTTGACCTTTTGAATTATTATTTTGCAAACCTTTAGGTCCGGGGACAAAGATAATGCCAGATATTGTCTAGTTGGTGTCATTGAGCATCGCGGGAGAACCGTAACAGCGGGGCACTTTGTTGCTTATGTGAGAGGAAGCAGGATTTTCAGCGAGAAGGAGACGAGCAGTAGCTCTTCCTCTTGGTTTCGTGCAATTGATAAAAGCATCAGAGAAGTCTCTCTAGGACCAAGTTCTCAAGTGTGAGGCTTTCCTTTTCTATGAGAAGATAGAAGCTTGAGACATGTATCATATTGTGCCCAAGTAATAACATGAGCAATCAAATGGCATTGGCAAGCAATGATTTGGTTTGCTAAGATCCATTCAGTGCAGTCAGTCCATACCTGTATTGCTTTTGCTGAGGCATTGCAGGGCACCTGGTTAATGGCGGCTTGTAACAAGTTGGGGAACTTGTTAGCTAGTCTGCTGAGTGTTTCTTCTTGCTCTTTTAGGAGGAGTTAGGGCATGCTGTATTGGCTGAACAGAGTAGGAAATTGATCATAGATTCACACCATGGCCTGGTTTTGTTGGATGATACTCACATGCTAGGAATTCACATTTTGTGACCATCGGCTACGTAATACAGATGTAAGGCGTCGATAATTTTGTTTATGGAAGCATTTTCTTGTTTTATGAATGGTGGTTGCCAAGGATTTTTCTTTTTTGGTGCCTAGGAGAATGATGGTGTAGGGTGCTCTTGGTTGATCAAGATGGCTTAATTCTGAGAAAAAAAACAATTTTTTACAATGCTATTTGGTTAAGAATAAGAAAATTCGATTGCGATTGATTTGAAAGAAGAGCTCGAAGAAAATTCAAAGGGATGTACGTATTGTGGTAAGCTGAGTGCGGATGTGTGATACTGGGAATTGAGGAGGCCAATGTGTGTTTCAATTTTTGCAGTGGAAGCAAATGATACGAATCAAGTACGGAAAACCCATATGGTGAATATGTAGAATCGAAGCCTGTGGATACTATATATGCCCAAATGATGACCTGGGAGATTTAACTTGATTGGAGAACTGTTGCAGTACACGAGTAGGACAATTGAGCCCCCTCTAAGACAACTTTACCTTGGCTCCTGAACAGTTGTGGTACTTAGTTGGAGTAAAACTAACAAGCTGCTTGGATTTTTTTAGCTTTACAGCTTCTGTCATGTAGGACAAAGTTAACACGAAATTCATCAGTTTGGTTTTTTGGTGGAAGATGCCATTCCAGTGGAAGGTGTGTTTGCTGAGACTAACAAGCTGCTGGATACTGGATTTTAGCTTCGACGATAGGACAGGAATGGTGGCCCCAATGCATTAACGATGGCGGCGGCGGTGGCAGCGCAGCAGCTCCACCTCCTCAGGAGTTGGAGACGTGTTAGTCTTGGTCCCTGTGCATGCGGTATGTTTTTGCTTGCTGGCCCCAGGTGCATTTAATTTTCTAACCCATTCTTCAAGTCCATTTAGTGTTTACTTCCTTACAGGTGTTGCTGCTCTCCTTGCTCAAGATACATGCCCTCCCCTTTCCGACCCTATCTTTGATTTAGCATCTTTAATGTTGTAATTCCTTAATTGTGCATCTATAAGTTTTTGAAATCTGAAATATTATGTTTTCAAACAGAAAAATATCTGGATGTTAGGTTCCATATATAGTGTCTGTGGCCCATATGGTTTGGCACAGATTTCTTTGCCTGCGCAAGACTTCTGTTTCCAAATTGTTTAGTCACCACTGGAAACTGGAATATCTGTAAGATGCTTCTGGTGTTTCTGGTTTAGCTATTAAATGGTATGTTTTTTCAAGTCTATGTTCAATCTATCTTTTATAAAACAATCAATCCACAATTCTCTATGTTGTGGATGATTGACTTGCTTGCTAAAGATCTTCCTGGTGTAGATTATCCTCTCCTCGTTGCTAGAATCTGTGAGCATTTTGATGTTGCTGCTCCCTGTGTTGTATTTCTGTTAGTGTTATAGTGACATTTTTATTAATGAAGTCACATGCATTTGCTATTGCAGGCTATAATGTGTTGTGTTTTCATTCCTCAGTAGTTGCATTGTGGGAGCACTTGAGTCGATAGAAATTTATCATTTGTTGCTCTAGTATGTTTTTTCCTCGTTTCTTACTTTCTGTAGTCTGTACTTCGTGTCGTTTGTGATAAACAGAGTTGGTGATAAATGGATCAATGGGAAGGACCAGCGTGCTGAAAAGACTTTGAGTCTTTTCCCTGTATGCTATTATAAAAGACTCAAAAGATTTTGCTTTCCCTTGGGGCCCCACAGTTCATCAAGGGTGTCAGTATATATACTATAAGTTTTCTACTCCAAAAGTTGAACATTTTTCAGACCTCAGATTTATTCGGTCCACGGCATGATCACTATGGGTGTTATAATGTATAACAATTTCCTCTATCATCATTTGTTATGTTTGTCTCGCAAAAATGAGCTAGCGTGGATTTTTCATTTGGACAGCACCATAAGCATAAATATGTTAATGTTGTGTAGCTATCTTCCTGTTAGCAAATGTTAACCAGTGTGGATAGTTCTGTTTACAGTTCTTCGATTCTTCAAAATCTATCAGATTAGTAGGGTATGTTGCTTTCTTAATTCTTAGTTTCTTTTGTTAGTACAGTCGTTGACTGGATGCATTGTGTGATAGTTTCACCATCTACCTCACTGTATTTGACCATTTCTTGTGACTCATCTTTTAGCTGTGAAATTTAATGCAAATGTCTTGATATATTGGGAGATGTACTTCATATATTTGACAACTTGATTTGATAACAAAAGTTCACGAGTCCATGTTGAATCAGCACTAAGCATCTGAACATTGAGTGCAATCCTTTTCTAAAAATTATTTCACTTGAGAAGGATGCATTTACTTGGACCTGTCAACATATGTATGATATCTGCTTTCATAATGTTCCAGTGCAGGTTATGTTGTTCAACAAGGATGAATGACCCGGTTCAGGCAAGTCTTCACCGACTACAAGTGGAAGACAGAGGCTCAATCATATATGTTGTGCACATCGCATTGATGAAATACAGAGGGGCTAGATTATTTGCTAAGACAGGAATTCTAGGATACAGATTCATTTTCTTTATATATGGTAGATTATTCCCCTTCTATGGGAAAGTTGATGGTTTGAATGTCACTACGGGCATAAGTTGCCAACCATTGTATAGGGCATAGGCATGCATATTTTCCATCACTATGATTTGAACCACTTAATGGTCTCCTCGGTATGAGTATGACTTTATCCATGAATTTGCCCAGCTTTGCCCCGATGGCCATGTTTATTTCCTATAACTAAAGTTATATCAAGTCAATTTTTTTTATCAAACTTATAGAAAAAAAGGTCAATATTTATGACACCAAATTAGATGATAAGATACACCATGGAATATATTTCCATAATGTAATCGTCTGGTGTCATAAATTTTAAATTTGTTTTTTTTTCGCGAGCAGGATTGGAACTATGACAGAAGTTATCATTCGAGAAGCTTGAAACCATGAAACTGGCACATCTTACAGCTAAGGAGACCATAGAGGCAAAAATGCTTGAGAAGGAATCAAAGATGACGCAGGCTTACAACACTCTCATCTCTCTAGATACAAGTTCAATGTCCTATGAAGAAAAAGCTGAGCGTGTTGCTGCCATGAAGTGTTTTAGGAGGACTTTATTTCCTGAAAGTATCTAATTAGGTATGCATTGCAATTCTATTTTTCAGTTACTGATAGTGCTAATATATTTTGAGATAGCAACTGCAAGATCTTTGTTCAGTTCAATAGAATTGGTAAAATGATAACTGAATGTGTGCCGTCACTGATCACTGAAATTTTTTTCTAGCTACTGAACGTTTTCAGTTCGATAGAATTGATAGCTGAATGTGTTCAGTCATCATCACTGAATTTTTTCTAGCTACTGAATGTTTTCAGTTCAATAGAATTGATAGCTG